CAGGCGTGCTTTAGGTTCACTAGTAACCGATGTTGTCCTTCTAGGGCAATAATTTAATTGGAGCATTTATAATTAATATATGATAGATCAATCATTTATATCCATCTTCAAGATGGTATCATTTAAAATATTTAAATAACATGCATGTGGGCACTTCTATTAAGTAAATAGTTAATATTTGAGTTAATGTATGTTCCAAACTGACCATCAATATATTTTATTATTTATGTGCAAGGATAAAATAATGGAACAATTATTACAGTTTCCCCCTAATCCTTGCACGTGGGACATGAAATGAATCCAACAACATTTAAATCTTATCCACAAGGCATAAATTCTTTTAGCAATACATGTATCAAACATAATAAAGATATTCTTACAAACTTGTTCTTACTCGTAACTCCTGCCCAATTATATTAATTTCTTATAAGTATGGGCATAATAAATATATTTTCCAAGCAATGCAAGTTGCTCACAATGTCATGTTTAATTACTTGAACTCATAACATTATTTCTAGGTGATATAGATGATATATATAATCATGTTTGCAATTTTTATAAACTTTATAATCAAGAATAATTTCATGCAAACATGCTTGTTACCTTTTTAAACATTCAAATTCTCACCCAAAGTTCAATAACTTGAATACTATTCAATATCTTTTGTATAATATTATTTCATGACATTGTGCTATTGAATCACGTTAGTATGTACTGGATATCTAAGCAACATGCTTTAGCTTTGTAGATCATGCACATTTTTTTGTATTATTCTTAAGGGTTTTGAGCCCTTTATATGTTCAAGCTAGCAACTTTAAGTCTATGTGTGTGAATACTCTTTATAAATATAAGGAATTTCGGGTCCGCACATCGTTCAATTTACATTTATTCCAATAATCTAATTTCAAGTAGGTACATAATACTATAATTGAATTTAATCACACATCAATCAATATAATGTATATAGTATACTTCATAATTTTATCAACTTATAAGGATAATAATAATTTAGTTAACGGAAATTTCACCATATACCAATGAGTTTAAGCTTAATTCACCGTATACCACCGAAAACTTTCTAATACACCAAATACCACTCAATTATTGTACATTAACATGAAATGCCTTTTTGGTTAACTGACGTTAGTGAGATGTTTGGGGTAATTTACCATTTCACCATGTACTATTTTATGTAAAAGTTTTTTCACCATATACCATGTTTTAAAAGTTATTTCACCATTTACCCATTTTTTGGAAACGATAATATTTTCAAAAAACTAGCCGTTGAACACTAATAACGGCTAGTTTGTTTGTTATATAAATGGAGTGATTGAGGGATTCACGTAGTACTTCACACTTCCAAAAGCATTTCTAAAAGATGTCCACACACTCGAGATCATCATCTTCCTCTTTCGATTTTTCGTATGTAAAAGTGCTTAACAAAGCTTGTTGTTGTGGTAGGAAGTTTGCAATAAGGAGCTCAGATTCGGCAAGAAATCCACAACGGTTGTACTATAAGTGTGATGTATGTGAGACATTCAGATGGTGCAAGGGTTAGGTGGAGTAAAATGTCGCATCGGGTTACGACAATCAAAACAGGGGAGGGATAGACACGCAATTGTATAGAGGTGAGAGCTTGTTGAAGCAAGAATTGAAGGACCTCAAAAGAAGAGTAGCAAGACAACAAAAGATAGTAGACACAGAAATTAAAATAGGAGTACTTATGTTTTTTGTTATTGTATTAGTAGCGTTAAAATGATTATTTTAAACAAAGTGTCATTGCTAAAAGTAATATGCATTAGAATTCTTAGCTATATTTTAGTAAAAGAGCACTTTTACATACGAAAAATCGAAAGAGGAAGATGATGATCTTGAGTGTGTGGACATCTTTTAGAAATGCTTTTGGATGTGTGAAGTACTACGTGAATCCCTCAAACACTCCATTTATATAATAAACAAACTAGCCGTTATTAGTGTTCAACAGCTAGTTTTTTGAAAATATTATCGTTTCCAAAACATGGGTAAATGGTGAAATAACTTTTAAAATATGGTATATGGTGAAAAAACTTTTACATAAAATGGTACATGGTGAAATGGTAAATTACCCCCAAACGGCTCACTAACGCCAGTTAGCCAAAAAGGCATTTCATGATAATGTACAATAATTGAGTGGTATTTGGTGTATTAGAAAGTTTTTGGTGGTATACGGTGAATTAAGCTTAAACTTAGTGGTATATGGTGAAGTTAAGATACTTTCAAAACAATTAGATATTTTAAGGGCATAAATAAATTGTCATAATGGAATTCCAGGTCCATATGTACAAGTATTACTCCAGGTTCAATATATGCCTCTTTCCAATAATTCATAATAATATAAATTTAATTAGTCAATTTATCTACACCTTTTAGAATGAGAAGGTAAAAACAATATGAGAACCTATTACTTCACGCTTTAATAAAAACATATCTTAATCAATTGAATCAACTATACTGTCGGATCAATTATATCAATATATTGCCTAATAAAGCTTAATTAGAAAATTGAAACAAGCACATAAGCAATCAACATTAACACGTTCATGTTAGTGGAAAACCACATGGTCCATATCATACTTGAAATATAAAATCATGCATATGTACAACATAATTCAATACATAAATTATAAATAGTTTCACATATGCCTAAGGCTTAGTTCATACAATTTACAAACATTCAAGGCATTAGACATAGCATTTCACAAACAAATTATATGGGTAGATAATTGCTAAATCAAACTATTCATATTTGCTATCAAGCATAGAGAAATAACCGAACTCATTTACGGATAGGAAAAGTAATACCAAAAATCTAGCAAATATATGTACTACAAGTTCATGAAAACCATACGTTCATAAAACTAACACCAATAATAATTCTAAATACCCTTTTAGATTCAAACTAAACAAAACTTGTAGTCAAAACAAAATTACTAATTAGTTATTTTCTGCGTCAAATCCAACTATCCCCAAATTGCTCGAACTCCAGAATAATAAAAATACGAAAATTTGGGAAACAATATAAACATATTATGTAAAGGTTTAAAATTAAGGATAGTTGAGAATGAACTTTCCTGATATCAAACCTTTCCCACTATAAAAACCAGCCTTATGATCAACTTCATGTTGTCGACGTCATCTACTAGCCTGTAACTCATGAAAACATCAATGAAAAGAAAATAAAATATAGCCCTTGATTAAGGCTAATCTATTATATTATGGATAGACGAGAAAGATGATTTAAGATAAACAAACCAATGCAATCGAAAAATAATAGTTTTTTGTAATTAAATAAAGCGGCACTACCATTAACATTCCAAATTATTAATACCGTGAGACTTCTTGTACTAGTCCCAAATTAATTAATGAGGATTGTTAATAATATGACATTCTTGAAACGTGTGATTTCATTATTAAAAGTTCAAAACCCATGATCAAGATTAATCTCCTTCTAATTTCTTCCCAAGATGCGACACAACAAGATAATAATGAGTATAATTTAGCACATCCAGTATACAACGAATTAATTATTAACCTAAGAAATCAACAATGAAATTTACATATTGATTAGAGCTTCGGTGCTAATAAAGTTTTGTAAAATAAGGAGAAATATATAGATTGAGAGAGAATTGAAATGTGTATTCTACTTATATTTTATATGAGAGAGATATAAATATATATATATATATACAGTACAATTGATAGAGTTTGCTTGGAGAATAATAAACCCTAAACTGTAGAAAGTTCTAGAGTGATACAAGATGGACATCCACAAATATGTTTAGATAAATATAAACCCTAGATCTAGATTGTTTTGGAATGATATAAGGGAAGATAATGGATATCCACAAATATTTCATAACATTACAATAATTAATTCATTTTTCTCAATTAGTGGATCCAACATAAATTATATTTTAATAATTTCATATTCTCTTTTCTTGATTCTCTCTACTGCTTTTTCTTTTTAATTTTTTATTATTCTATTATCAACCCCACTACGAGACTGCTCACATTTACTGAACTGAATTGAAATAAACTGAACTGATTGGAGCTGAAATAAACTGAACTGATTGGAGCTGAACTAAGCCGAAGTAAACTGAATTGAGTTGAAATGAATATTTTATAAGAGAGGGATATTAGGAGATGAAATGAACTGAACTGATTGGAGCTGAATTGAACTGAACTGATTGGAGCTGAACTGACCTAAACTGATTGGAGCTAACCTGAACTGAACTGAATTGACCTGGAATTAAGTAATTGTGGATAGACACTACCTCCCCATTTTATTACTTTTTGTGTTTCTCCAATTTTCCTAAAAATTCCACACATGGAAATATGAAGTAAGTATTAAAAAAAAGGATGGAGTATTATGAGAAAAGGTAATAAAAACGGCTTTTTCACCATATGCCCCCGAATTTTTTGTTTATTCACCATATACCCCTGAACTTTTGTAAATTCATCAAATACCCCCGAGTTTTTACAAAAATAAAACATACCCTTGATGACTAATGATTTTTAATTTTGTCAATCATTAGAGCTAATAATGAACCGAAACCATCCTAAATACATTCCCCTACCTTCGAAATTACCCACATTCTTTTTTCCCACCAACAAAACTATCCTAAATTTCCTTTTCTTATCCTCAAAATCAATCATATAAATATGGTTATGGAGATTTGGAGTGGTTTTAGGGGCTGGAAAAAGAAGAGTGATTTTGGGAATGAGGGGAGAGATCTAAGGTGACTTCGATGTATAATTAACCAAATTTCATTCATCTTATTTTCATTAGGGGTATATTGTAAATTTTGGTAATAACTTAAAGGTATATGGTGAATTTGAAAATTTTCATGGGTATATGGTGAATAAACAACAAACTCAGGGGTATATGGTGAAAAAACCGTAATAAAAAACAGTAAAAGAGCTCACGGTAAATTGGGAAATTCGCAGATAATGTAGATGTACTTCATCCATACAACAGTGAACACCCAAATCCTTTTAGAAATTGCTTCAAACGTTATCCACCCTCCTAACTAGAGGAATTCTCTCTCTCCTCCATTGTTGAACACCTCAAGCTTTCTCCATTACAACCATTACTCATCAATGGCGACCTCAGTATCATTTCTCACTTCATCTTTCGCTTCACTCTCATTCACTTCTAACCTCACTCCTAAATCCCAAACCTTACCAATTGCGCGCGCAAAACCCCTCTCATTGACCCGCCCTTCGACCGTCAAACCCCTCGTTATTACCGCAACAGCCGCCACTGCGCCGGTGGAAGCGGCGGAAACTGCCGACCTTGAGAAATTCGTGAAGTCGCGTCTTCCAGGCGGGTTTGCTGCGCAGACTGTTATTGGTACGGGAAGACGAAAGTGCGCCATTGCTAGGGTTGTTCTTCAAGAAGGAACTGGAAAGTTCATTATTAATTACCGTGATGCTAAGGTATGTTGCAAGTTTTTGCTTTAAAATTATGATAATTTTACTATCTATGTTTGGTTTGTGCAATTAATTTCTAGTTTTTAAGGTTTATGCTGATTGCTGCAATCTTTACCCTCATAAAACTCTCCAATTAGCCCTTATTTCCTTCGGAACGTTGTAACTTTGCGCCTAGTTGTCTTAATCGAATAACTAGATTGAGGGTGTAATTGTGGTATGTGCATTCATATTAGTATAACTTTGTGTTGTTTTGGTTCATAATAGTATAAATTAGAAGTACGAAGTTGGAGTGTTTGGGAATTGGAAGACTTTGAAGTTGTTTGCATGATAAAAATACTTTAGAGCATCTTTAATGCTAAGCTAATTGTTAAAGTAGGTTGTCATGGGATGTAAGATTTTAAGTAGTCCCTTTATAGCTAGTTTGTGCCCCAATGGGTAGCTACTTGCTATTTAAATGAGCTTATGGAAAGAAATTTCATTAATATATTATTTTTCTGTCTTTTGGCAATTTTTCTCAAAAAGATTAGCTTGGGCAATCTAATTCTATATTTTAGATCCAAGGGTCAAGCTAGCCCTTGACACTGTTGAAAATTGCAAACAAGTCCCTAGATACAATCATTAAAGATGCTAAATCAAAGGAATATATAACCCCATTAAGTACAAGGAACTTCGTGTGGGTGGTTTTACTCGATATAGTAGTCGTCAACACATTTGACCAAACTGTTATAGTGTTATTTACAATTCTGTTTTTAGTTAAATTTGCAATGTCCACGGTGAACTTAACCAAATGACCACGTTTGAGTAGAGCTGTCAATTTGGGTAAACAGGTCGAGTAAGAGTGGGTCGGGTTAATTCGGGTTAATGCCGTAACCTATGCGGGTCGGGTTCAGGTTCGGGTCGGGTCTTGCTTGAGTCGGGTCACGTCGGGTCATACATCTTATCAGTATTGGGGTCAGGTTTAGATCGGGTTAACAACCGGTCGGGATACATTTGGGTCGGGTGAACAATAGGTCGGGTTTAATTCGGGTTTTCACGGGTTAAAATGCGTTTGGGTAATTTTTGAGTTTGAGTCGGGTTCGGTTCAAGTAAATAATTTATGGGTTAGAATCAAGTCGGGTCATTCTCGAGTTTAAGTCAGGTTCGGTTCAAGTCAATAATTTGCGGGTTATAATTAATTTTCAAGTCGGGTCATTCTCGGATTCAAGTCAAGTTCGGTTCAAGTCTATTTTGCGGGTTATCATCAGGTCCCTGTCATTCTCGGTTTCAAGTCGGGTTTGGTTCAAGTCAATATTTTGCGGGTTGTCATCAGGTCCTGTAATTCTCGGGTTCAAGTTGGGTTTGGTTCAAGTCAATATTTTGCGGGTTGTCATCACGTTGGGTCATTTCCAATTAAGTCGGTTCATTCTCGGATTCTAGTCGGGTTATGTTCAAGTCCATAATTTGCGGGTTACACGTCGGGTCATTTCCAAGTCGGGTCATATTCGAATTCAACTAAATATAAATAGATAATTATCATTTTTATCAAGCTAATTATTTCTTTTGACTATAATATATATGGCAACATAATAGGGAACTATAGTCTACAATTTAGGAAGATAATTATCTACTTTGACTATACAAAAAATATATACAGAGTACTATATTAAATTCTTAAATTTGGGGATGTTGCTCCTTTATTTTGCTGCTTGGACCGACTTGATCTCCATATACAAAATGTTTTGATCAACAATAATTAGGTGGTTTAAATTGAATTTAAGGTGATTTGAAATCAAGTCAGGAACAATTTGGGTTGAATTTAGGTCGGGTCAATAACAAGTTGTGTTGATTTCGAGTCAGGTTAGTAACACATCGGGTTGAATTTTTGGGTCGGGTTAGTAATAGGTTAGATAAAATTCAGGTTGGGTCAATAACAAGCCGGGTTGAATTTGGGTCAGGTCAATAACAAGTCGGGTTGATTTTGGGTCGGATTTGTAACAAGTGGTTAAATTCGTGTCGGGATAGGAATGAGTCGGGTTGAATTCAGGTCGGGTTAAAACGGGTTTGGGTCAATTTCGGTTCAAGTCGGGTTCGATTCAGGTCAATAATTTATGGGTTACATTCGGGTCGGGTCATCTCCAGGTCAGTTCATGCTCGGGTTCAGGTCTCACATACTCGGGTCAACTCAGGTCTAGGGTTGGTTTTAAGTCGGGTCAGAGTCATCATTTTTTCGAGTTCAGATGGGTCGGTTAATAATCGAATTCGGGTCGGATTAGCTTTTGACAGTTCTACGTTTGAGTAGTCCAATCCCCTATCAGGTTCGTAAATTTGTAATTGACATGTGCATACCAGGGAGTGCTACCATTTGATGTGTTGGTTGTTGATGGAAGACGATTTTGTTTGTGGAATTGAAATGGCTATACATTAGATTGAGATAAAAGAGGGGTATGATTATTACAAAAGTTAAATAAAGAGAATTGCGGTGAGTCGAAGCCTAGCTAAGATTATGCTATCTATACCTCTTAAATCACAATCACTTATGTCACATGTCACATGTCGCATTTTCTCTTCTTCTATTCAAACAATTTTTTTCAAAAACAAAAAAAAAAATATAACTTTATCATTTAATATACATATGCAATGTATTTTCATATCCCTTTTGACTAAATTTTTCTTAAGTGCGTATTTCATTGTTCACCTCTTCTAATTCTTCTTAATCTATTCATTTGCCCATAAAACAATGTTAAACAGCCCCTACAATGCACAGGCCGAAAAGTAGTTGTTCTAATTAGCAAATCTCTGATTAGATTTAGGGTTAATGATTTTCATTTTATTTTTGTTTAGAACTACAAAAGCTTTATGTCTTATTAGTAGAAGAAAAATGCTACAAATTACAGTTCTTATATAAGCTTTCTTATCACCAAAGAAGCATAACACAATGATGGAATGAAAAGCAAGGTATGGTACTCGATTTATGCTAGCAGGTAGATGACAAGCTGACAACAAGTTAGTATCAATATAATTAATGATGTGAGGGTGACAACAATGTTATTAATAATATGGTTATGATGTGAGGGTGAGGGTGACAACACTGACAAGGCAACAAGTGTAGTTACTTGTGCAGTGGATGCATATATACCCAATATGTTGTAGGCTTTGAAGCAATTGTGCCTTAGCAATTGATGCATGGACATGAATACTTTATTGTATTTGCGGGTAAAGTCGAAAATTCAAATTCTTAAATGACCTTGTGAAAAACGAATAAGAGTTGGAGTTTATTATGTGCATAGAGGATTTGTTAAAGAGCACAACCTTTTAGCTACAGAAGCCATCACATAGTCTGCTAGATTTTTTGGTTTTTATTTGAAGAAAGTTTCTTACTATAGTTTCGTAAATATTTTGAGGATCTTATGCCATCTTGAAACAAATTTACGATATGTTATGGTATGAAAATGGATTGGAAAAGAAATGTTTGAAGTTGTTTATAGTTTTTGGGTCTTTTGTATAATCATGTTTCTTTAATTACAGAAAAACAAGTAATCTCTATAAATGGAATTATATTATGTCTGTTGAGGCATTACTATGTGGCTATGTGCGATAGACTTGGAACCATCTATTCTATGAGCTGAAAGCAATGTGAATCAGCACAAATCTAACCCAAGAAACGAACAGATTTTCAGTATGGACTTTCCAGGTTTATGCATAGTAAATGAGAGATGTGCAGAGTAATTAACCTCTTATTAATTTTGAAGTCATAATTATGGTCAAGTATATCAGGGTAAAGTGTGCGGCTGCTTGTGAAACTCTAAAGTCGTGTAAATCCTTTACTCTCCCCAAATTAAATAGAATTATATCGTCACTTGATTACCCTCAATCCTGATTCTTCTGTGTGACTGTTGATTCTGCTGCTATAACTTTCAAATCACTCGGAATTTGTTCTTGGGCAAGGATCCTGTTTTGCAATGTTGCTGTAATTTTCCCGCATGTATAGCCTAAATGATTGGTGTGTTCATGAGCTTCGTATTTGGAGTAACGTGATCATGTATTGACACTATAGCTCCTTCAGATTGTCCTTTATTTTACATAGAGATGAGCCTTTCAGAAGAGCATCCTTGATTGAGCCTGTGTAGATCATATTAGTTGCCTCTAGCTTACTCCATCCTAAGTAGCTTTAAATGAAGTTTCAACCTCAATGATGTTGTTACCTGAACCTTTCTGCTATGAACTTCAATTTTTGATGAAAAAAACTAAGAGAATAAATAAAGATTGTGGTTGATAAATTTGATTACAGAATACGATAGAATAGCAATCTTTTGAGAGGGTTAATCCTCTCCCATAGCTTAAAAAAACAGCTTATGTTAATTCCCAATGAATAGTCTCATAATTTCTCTCTTTTTCATTTATAACAACCTGTTTACCTTTCCCCTCTCCATCTTCTAACTCTCTTGCCTACCTCCTCAAGCTACCACTATGCACTAACTGGATTGTGATGCCAACACTTATAGTGCAACTGCACCTTCCCTTTCACTGGTTCATTGTCATTCTTCAAAATACTTGCTTGGAAGGACACACAAGGGGTGGGAATGAAACTGAGGCCAAATCTATTAAAAATGCTCTAAAATTAGCTCAATTGCCCGACTCCTTTGATTCATTTATCGGGCTTGTCAGCTTGTCCCCAATTGAGCATTTGCCAATATATTACTCGTTGATATTTAGTACAATACTGCTCTCAATTTAATCAGAACCCATAGGTTTTTTTGACTAATTTGTAATTTCAACAATTTCTCCATGTCTCACATTCTGTTTAAAATTCAGAAGTGGTTACTTTAGGGACAAATTGCTCATGATGCCTATTAGTGCATTAAAGACATTTATAAAAGCAAGTCTAGAACAAAGCTTCCATTGTAAGACTATTTTATTTGTAATTACCACAAATAGAAGTGCTGAAAATGAGGAACATAGTACAACTGAAAGTAGATGTCTTCCCCAGGAATATAGTCAGTGTCACTATCTGTTCTTCCTATTTGAACCTGCTAATAAGTTATTTGTGCTGAATACTTACAGGGCATCTGTCAAGTAAAAAAGAAATGGGGCCTATCACTTACACTGTGTTTGGATAAAGAAAGGAGAAGGAAAAGAAGGGGAGGGAGGGGAGGGAGGGAAAGGGAGGGGATGAAAGAATGTTGTGTTTTCCTTCCAAAATTGTTGGAGAGATCAATTTCTTACAATTTAATCCCTTCATTTCTCTCCCCTCCAATTCCCTTCCTCCCACTTTTGCTCTCCAAATGAAAGATACTCCATCCCTCTATTTCCCTTCCCTTCCCTTCCCTTCCTTTCCCTCCATTTCCTTCAGTCCAAACAAAATCATTGACATTTGCCTCTGCAGTTGGATACAGTGATAGAGTATAAAAGAATGAGTGATATCAGTATAATTTGTCCCATTTTGCAAATACCCTTTCATTGTATTGTGTAAATTATGTTCTATTCTTGTTTGGAAAATAGTTTGCTAAGGTAGAGCAGTGATTAATATTTGTTTCTAATCTCTGTAGGAATATCTTCAAGGAAACCCACTTTGGCTCCAATATGTGAAAACGCCGTTGGCTACTTTGGGTTACGAAACAAACTATGATGTCTTTGTCAAAGCTCATGGTGGTGGGCTTTCCGGTCAAGCACAGGCCATATCCCTTGGTGTTGCCAGGGCATTGCTGAAGGTCAGTGCTAGTCATAGAGCTCCTCTCAAGCAAGAAGGCCTATTGACTAGAGATTCCAGGGTAGTGGAGAGGAAGAAACCTGGTCTCAAGAAGGCTCGCAAAGCTCCTCAATTTTCAAAACGTTAAGGTAGAAATAGTGATTTGATCCATATTTTCTGCAAGTGAATCCTCTGAATCTTTTACCTTGATATATTAACTTTTCATGGGTTCTTGTGTAATTCTTACATAAGGCCTATTAAATTTTGATGAACGTATGTAAGCATTATGGTTTCAGAACAAGAGTATCCAATTATCATTTTGTGAAATAAATAGATTAAATGGCTTCACTTTTAAGTCTTACTGCCGTTGGGTTTAATTGTTTTTCTGGGACTTAATTTCTGGCACTACTTCACAGCTGATCATGAACAGCATATGTGTCCCATATCTTTGTAATTAGAGGTTACGAGTACTAAAAATATTTCGGCTGGGTATACTTTTATTTGATTTATTAAGCATACCCAATTAGAGTTAGACGCTCTGTTTGGCTTTTTTCATACCCAATTTTTTTTATTAAGCTGTGCATTATTTGATTTATCGTCTGTGAACCTTCACTTTACTGAAAGTATTTGGTACACTTTGTAACTAATGCTGACCCTATGGATTCTTCCTAAAACAATTCAAGTAATTGCTAAACTGAAGTTCTTAATCATGAACGAATAATTTGTAAAACCCCCTGATTTTCACTTTATCAGTGCAAATGTACTTCTGTTGTTAATTACTTTAATTATAGCTTTAAAAAATGAGTATCATGATTAATATGTACAATATACACTGTTGGGTTCCGCTTGTTGTTGATGGAGGTTATCAATTATGTCTGTTAGATTTTTAACAGCTGTGCAATCACAGGATATTCTGCTAGCAGAGTTGAGGCGGCAGAAGAAATTCCAGGGAAGGCAAGTGAATTAATTTTTCTAAAGCTAACTCTGATAGGTTTCAAAAGCAATTTCTGATGTTTTCAAATTCTGTTGTGTTTAACTGGTACCCCTTTTTTTGCCCTTGATGTCGTATGAGTGGGAATAGGTGCTTTTTGTATATGGCTTATCAGAGAATGTAATTTTATATGTGCAATAAATGAAAACAGTCTTCCATCAATTAGAGGCATCATTCCTATCCGAGCGAAATCCGTTGGCTTAGATCAAATAATGAAACAAACCTGTTGAACCCCTTCAATCTTCTCTATGATAGAATAAGTGCTAACCTTGAGCTTCTTGGATCTTCTATACTTCTGTCGATGCACTTTGTTAACTGTCAGTCTGCAGTAGCAAAATTGGTTGGTGATCTAGATTTCACTTAATGTCTATAAAGGAAAATATCAATGGTACCCCCATATAATAGTATTTGTACCCAATCGGTTGAGTCAGCTATAATTGTAGCTAAATCCATTCTCCTTTAGTCCTTTGTAGCGCCCACTCGAGACCAAATAAGCAGATTAGCTTTTAGTCTAAGTTGCAGAATCTGCAAGGCCAAAGGACACTCCTAAATTGTGTCTGATCAAGGACTAATATTGAGCAGGGCCCGGCTAAGGGCATGTGTAAATAACGAGTAACCTCTATAACACTAACGAAGTAATCCTCATAATGGATGGCCACATCGTATGGCCAGCCACATATAAGACTTTGTGTAAGTTAAAAAGTTGTAGGACTCTTTTATTCTCAAGCCTAATGAAACTAACAACCATCATCCTCCTTCATTCACGGCAAATCAATTTCATAAACTGCTCCCAAATTCCTTTGTTTTTGTAATCTTCTATTTTCCTTTGTTTTTGTAATCTTCTATTTTCCTTTGTTTTTGTAATCTTCTATTTTCCTTAGTATTTTCTAATTTAATTTATTGTTTTACCCATAAAATTTCAATTTTCCAAATTAAACGTTTTGCCTTTTATTGATTACACCGGATATGAAAGAGGATTTTCTCAAATCTTGAATAGCTTTCAACGGAGAATAACTTTTTTTGAACAGTTTGAAATTTTAGTAATTGAGATTGAATTGGGATATTATTTACAATTGTGTTTTCCTTAAAAAAAATTTGAATGAGTTTTGTTTAAAATTGTTGTAATATGATACTTCCTTCGTTTTATTTAATTGACATCGTTTGACTTTTACACAAGTCATAAATTATGATTTGACTAACTTTTGTAATTTATAGCTATGATCAATTATAATCAAGTGAGATCTTGTTTGAATCATCTCAAATATTTTATTAATATCTACTCTTTTTTTTTTTTATAATTTTCAATGTCTAGAATTAGAGATATTAATCGTTAAAATAGTTTGTTGAAAAACGTTGTAAAAATTAAAAACTAAATTAAATTAGAGGTAGTATATATATATATTGAGAAAATTTCTTATTTAAAAAGTTATTTTTATAAGAGCCCAATTTCTAATGTAGAATAGGCCCAAAAATTATCAAGATAACCCTATAATCTAACTATACTTTATTATTTTATTATTATATATTAAAAAGCGTTCCTAAAAATGTCAATGTCATCTAAAATTTATCTAATAAGGCTTGAACACAAGGCCTCATTGAATGAAGACCAACTTATTACCATCCAAGGTATAAGCTAATGTTGTTTTGTCTACGCACATAAATATATAAATACATATTATAAATAAAAAACAAAATTATTCAAAACTATTTATTATTGTTATCGTAATATTATAATTTTCGACATTAAAAAAAAATTCTTTTAACCTCTTTAATAATAATAATGATAAAAATACTCAAATTAACACCCGAGCTAAACACTAGTTAAAATTTGTAAATCGCTTTGAAAAATCCCGGAGGATAGTATGAATCCATTTCATCCTAGTGTAGGATGGTCTACCTACACCCCCTGATGCTACGCCGTTTTGTAGCTTGCGGGGAGTACTCACAAGCTAATTCATGCTTCAATTCTTTCCTTTTTTTTATTTAATTTTTTAATTCCTTGTTTCTTATTATTCAAGCTATGTATATAAATGATTTTAAATCCAATATTTTCTCTCTCCTCAATTGATCAATTTCCATTTTTCTACCTACATTCTCTCTAGTTAATTCATCTTCTTCATTTGATTTTATACTAATTTTGCCGTTTATTTTTCCTACGATTTTGATAATTGTTGTTGATCATCAATGGCTGATTCTTCATCTGCTAATTTCGATCGTGATTACGAAAGTGGGTTTCCGTCTTCTAGAGTTCGATTGATTGATTCGTTTGTTCATCAACAATGTGAGTAATTACAATCATAATTTTGTAATTTTTATCATCAATACATTGTTTTGTTGTGTTATAATGTTCTGTTTATTTCAACTTAATTTATGTATTATTATTCTTTTCGTTGCTTCAATTTTCAAAATTTGATTATGATTATGATGAACGTTTTTGGATTGTTCATACTTTGTTATGAATATTTCGCTGCTTCAATTTATTTCATTGCTCTATGTTTGAAAATTGCGTGATTTTGTTTGTATGCTTTTATTTATTTATTTATTTTTGGATCATTTTTATATTTAAAATTAATCAATTATGTGTTATCATTTGTACTTCTTAATTTTTTTATGTCATATATGATTATTTGTTTTTACCATTTTTTCTTGATAATATTATGTGTCAAAATTTTCCACATTGATCATGTGCAATTTTGCTATTGAACATTGTATTTGTTAATTATTGTTCATTTTTGAAACATGTTATGTTCATTTATAATTGTATATTAAAACTTTGTGCAATGAGAAAAAAAAACTGATATTTCATATCTTGCTAAGGTTTTGATCTTATCTGTTTATTTAAGTGTTTGAAATTGAACATTTATATATTTTAATATGATCATTTAACTTTTATTTGAAGGCGAAGGATTTAGTGTTTAAAGGATTTAATATGATCATTTTTTGAAACTTGTTATGTTCATTTATAATTGTATATTAAAACTTTGTGCAGTGGGAAAAAAAGCTGATATTTCATATCTTGCTAAAGTTTTGTTTTTCTTATCTGTTTATTTAAGTGTTTGTAATTGAACATTTATATATTTTAATATGATCATTTAATTTGTTTTGCAGTCGAAGGATTTAAATATTCCTATAAATAAAAGTGCTGCTGGTGTTTCTGCTGCTCAAGCTCAATGTAATGTTCCTATAAATAAAGGTGGTGCTGGTGTTAAAAATGATGCTCAAGTTAATCCAAGAGTACTAATGCGTCTACAAAATCTCAAACTAGATATTTTGTTCCACCCGTAGTTCTTGGCATTGTTCCAACTTCAACTCAGGATTGTTCAAACTTCAATCCAGAAATGTTTAAACCCCATTCCAGAAATGTTCAATCGACAAATGTTTAAGTTATTCCTCCCACGGTTCCAATAAATGATCAAGGTGCTCTTGTTCAAAGTTCTTCAAGTGTTAAAGACATAAGAATTTGTTTCTATATAATACCTTTTTTAGTATATTGTTTTTTTTAAAAATTCAACATATGTAAATGATTATTTATCAATTTGAAAATGAACAAAAGTAAAGAACCAACAACCAATTCATAAAACCTAAAAATTATATATTTTTTTTCATACAAATAAAGATTAAAATGAAATATCAATTCCAATAATTTTTTTAACAAATAAAATCTATAAGTCTATTTTCCTCCAAAAAAAATCATCTATAAAACTATATACTTCCTCCGTTTTCTTTTACTTGCAACACACCTTTTAGGCACACAATTTTAGGAGATGATTAGTGAGGGTAAACGAGCTATTTTATCAATATAATTTTTACACGAAGATTAGAATAGGGTTAAGTATCATTTGTAAAAATTATAATGAATAATTTATCCGTTTACATTACATAAACCCGACCTCAAAACACGTGCCACAAGGCTGTGTTGCAAGTAAAAAGAAACGGAGGAAGTATAAGATATGATCATATACACATTCATTAATGAACATATACACTTTCATAAATGAACATATAACATGTACTATTCATTTGCAAACTTCCTTGCTTATCTTCTATTTAACCTATATTTAGTGTTTTTCTTCAAATAACATCAGTTCCGCATCCTTGCTTCCTAATTTGGTTCACCTGTTGAACAAAATGAATTAACAAATGTTAATTATTATATACACTACTTTATAAATGAACAATATATCTTACATTATTGAACATTTATCATTTTTACACTATTTGGTTTCAAATCACAAATCTAACTCTCATTAAGTTTAGTAGTGAATGTTTCTATATGCTTCATAATGTATACTCCGCAGTTTGTATAATCAGCGTTGGTAAGCCATTTTATCTTCTCCAAAACAACTACGTATTCTTCAATTCCATGTGCAAATTTATATCAAATGTGTAACTTTGGACATCACTACAATATAGCTAGATTAGTTGTAAGATATTAGTTTTAATGCATACAAATGAACATTATCAATATTATACATGAGGATAATGTATAAAAGAAATGAACATTCGTTATTTAGGCATATAAATATATATGTAAACTGAAATGAACCAATATTAACATATATTTTAAAATGAACATTACTTTATATGTAAATGAACATTATGAATTTCATAAATGGTCAAAAGATTTGATAGAATAAATAAGTCAGTTTCTCAACTCAAATGAATGATTATTTATGCATTTCATAAATGTGCATAACATATCATAAAAATGAACATTATTTATTTAGGCATATAAAGTCAAATATAAACTCAAATAAATTCAAATATACAAATGAACATTTATAATTCTATATATGTTCGTATATTAACTCGGAATCGTAGAAATGTTAACATCTATACGATAAGACTTTTTAATATCTTTTAAAAGTTCTAGATCTACAACTTGAGACTTTTGTTCGTTGTTTTTTTTTTTTAAAAATTTTTTCTACTCTTGTTTAAATAGGTTTTTGAAATAATACTTACGTTTCTTCAGACTATGCCTTGTTATGTTCAACGAACAGGATTCTTCTCTGAATCCTCATTCTCTTTATCTCTCTAATTCGAAATATATTTTTCGGTTCTGTAAAAAAAAAAAACACAAAACATAGTAGATTTTAATGATTTTTGCATAAAATAGTTCTAATCAAGTTAGATTATGTTTCTGAACATGTAATTTCAAAATGAAATACGTAGTAGAAAAAATAGGTTCATACAAATTTTTTTAGTAAAATTACTTACTCTTTCTGTGAATGTTGTTGCGATTGTTGAATTTCTTCGCAAATGTAGACATTTGAAGGAATTTAGCAATATTTTGAAGCAATTTCGTAGTATTTTGAAGCAATTTCGTAGTATTTTGAAGCAATTTTGGTTCATATTTTCTGGTTTTGATGAGAGAGAAAGTCTAGAGAAATGAAGAAGAAGGTTTTAGAGAGAATGGTGGGTAGTTACAGTAGGTTAGTGGGTTATGGGATGTGGGTAACATGATAAACACATCATTTAGAGGGGGGTGTAGGTATCCCTACCTACACTAGGGTCTAGTGTATACCAATTAAGGATTTAAACATCACAATGTGCTGCGATCCTTGTTGAATCCGATTGGTGTTGATCCAAGCCTATTGTGACAAGTGAAGATATATATCGATCTCACACTGATTTTACCATCATGGCTCTAAAAAAAACCGGACATACTACCCCTTTGTCTCTAATTTTTTACATTATTTGAACGGTCTTGAAAAACATCTTAAATTAATAATATCTTTATTTCCATACATGTAAAAATTATAAAAACGTGATAATAATAAAATATGCAATAAGACGAATCTAACAAGACCACTTATGACTATATTATCTTTTATAAATTGACCATAATTTATAGTCAAAGTTTTCAAGTTTGACCCAAAAAATAACAATGGAGCAAAAATAAAGAGACGGAGAGAGTAGACTAGCAGAGTAGAAAGTCATTCTCTAAACGAGAAGTTATTACTAATGATTTATTGAGCTAAAGTCAAGACATCAACTCTTCTAAGCATGTTTTACAAGTTCACATCGGAATAGATGTTAACTATGGGGTTGTTTGGTTAACTTAGAAAGTAAAAATTCCCATGAACATCTAATATATGGGAATTAAATTCCATAATAAAAAAATTATGTGAATTTTTTAAAGCTGTTTGGTTGGTAATGAGGGAACTAAATTCTCATAGGAATTTCAACTTACCTAGGGGTGGCTAGGTAAGTAAATTCCTATATTTTATGGGAATTGGAAATTCTTGGGAAGTTCTACTTCCTCTATTTCACTAAATTTTATTCAACCAAACAACTTACTCATTTTGCAATTCTTAGGAACTTTCAATTTCCATGATTTTGTATGTAAACCAAACAACACCTATATACATTTGATGTTTTTCTACGTTATCACAAAAGTAAAAACTAACGAAAATTTGCAACCTCTTTCTGCTAAGGTTGATTTTGTTTGCTAGCCTTTTATATAGTAATGTTTAAAGAATGAAAGAGTTTCCATTTTGGTTAAATGTTAAAAGGACCAAAACACCTTAAAGAAGTCAATTGTTGCTTGGATCCCAATACTGTCTTTCCTTCACCCGCCTAAGTTGTCATAATTGTTAAGTAGCCCAATTTGTGGAAGCTAAGCCTCAATATAGGAAATTATCTTTATTAGTTGGTAAGAAATGCAAACGCAAAGATTCTTTGTGCATCCTTGAAATCTAGGGCTTTCAAAGGGAGGTTAGATAACAAGTGGTCACCCCCCCCCCCCCCTTTAAACAACTTTATACAATTTTACTAGGACTCCTTATAGTATTACCACTAGTGGAAAAATTGTTATCCGTAACGGGCAACAGGCGTTACGTTTACGGCCGTTACGGATAGACAATGTTATTCGTAACGGGCAATGTCCATTACGAATAAGCAGTTATTTGTAACGGGCAAAACAAGTGTCCGTTACGAATAAGCAGTTATTTGTAACGGGAAAAACAAGTGCTCGTTACGAATAACCCCGTTATTTGTAACGGTATTGGTTTAAATTCCAAAAACCTAAATTCAAATATAACACATACTCTAAATACAACATTATACACATACACTCATAAACCCATCACATTGTATGATTAAAAATGTTAATAATTAAAAAATAATAATAATAAACAGGGAACACCACGTCACCACCAGCAACACTGCAGCAGCACCCAAAAGCATCAGTAGCAACCAAGAGCGCAGCAATAAAGAGCAGCAGCAAAACGACAGCTAAGAACAACAGCTAATTATAAGCGCAGCAACAACTAATTAAGAGCAGCAGGCTAGCAACAACCAAATCACTTTAGCATCGATCAATGCCCAAATTTTCATGTCCCTTGAAAAAATCCAAAAGTTTCATCATCTTTAAATCACTTTAACATACTGTACTTCGTAATTATCTCCTAGAAAATTAAAAAAAATTCTTGACCCAGCTGTAAGAAAATCAGCCAAATTCTATCATTATAATCAAGGTATAGCAAAATCCCATTTTCAATTACAACCACTATATCGAGAATATTAAGGTATAACAATTATTTTCAATACAGTACAAATATTCAAGAATTTGTCCTGATGAATACATCATAACAACCTGCTTTCAATCGTTTAAAAGAAGTGAAACCCGGTCAACTACATACCATTAATGCTAGCTCCTTAAAAGAAGCTTTGGTATTTCCTAGTTATGGAGTATCTCCTTCCATGTCCCCCTGACCTGCCAATTAAGAACCAAGCTTGACATGAATCGTCAAAACTAAACATTACACTTTTTTTGTTAGGATAAGACGCTAAGTGTCACGGTCCGGGTGTTGAAGGCAAGAGCTCGCTGCATGATCCGGTGCCAAAACACCCAGACTGTGACACTAAGGAATCCAAGATTGTTGTGTCCTCGTATAAAGCTTTTAAGTCTTATTAACTAGTAAAGTATCAGGCTTGCCATTTTAATTTGGACTTATACTAATATACTATGGAGCCATGGTTCTGGAACAGTGCATGCCATACCTATATACTCCGTATGATTTTACAATGAAATAGCCACAGCTAAACATGATTTGCATGCAATTATTGTTGAGTTCCCAGAAGGTCTAAGTGAGATTTTCAACTCACATCATTTAAATCTGTGTTTTATACCTTACTTAATAAGATATATTCCACTGATAATCAAGAAATCTCTTTTCTTGCAAGCTTTGACAAAATCTCAAGTATGTAATAGAATCAAATCAATTAAATTGAACATGTAAGAAAATCATGGAGAACTATGCAGAAATGTAGAGTACAAGAAAATCATCAGTCAGATTTCCTGCATCATACTTCCTAGGATATATGCCAGTGTTTGGATGCAAGGACAATATTTTCGCTTTCATTTTAGCATGATCATAAGATTAATTTATCAAATTTGCTGCAAGTTAAAGAGATAGTAATTTACCTGATTCAAAAGGCCTTTGTAAGGCTCATCATCTATCAACAAAGTGTTTAATTCTGAAAACAGAACCCTTGCTTTTGAAGGAGCTGTTGAGGTCTGCCAAAGTTTCTTGAGCTCTTTGAAAAAAAGCGGCTTGTGTTCAGATATTGCTAGCTAGTGTAGCTAGATTTAAAAAAATAAAAATAAAAAATAAAAAAAAAGAGAGAGAGAGTAGCCAGATTCACTTTCTAGCATATCACAGAACAAGTTTCAGCTTCAGCTCATTCGGGATATGAGCTAAGGCACTACAAAAAGGTTGCAGAATAAAGAAAGGAACTGAAAAGAATTCAAATTACTAGAAAAAAAATACTTTATTGCTTAACATTGTCTTTTCAGGTTATGCGCACATTGTAACGAGTTGTTAGTCATTGGATTGGCATTAATGGTTTCTTGAACTGAAGAACATTCTTGTGATAGATAATATGGAATATGACAATTCAAGTGGATAAATAAAAAGGAAAGATAGGTTTGAAGAAATTCAAGGGACCAAATGACTCATAAAAACCATCACCAAAAATAGAAAGGTACCATAAAACTCATAGTTACCTAGATGCTCTTTACCTGGTAACACCCCTAACAATGCCCCACTTGTTACCAATCATCACAGAATCCTTGAAACCCTGATTAAAACCCTCTTGTGCAGCAACATTTTTCCAGCCGGTAAACCATTACGATATCCAGCCTATCAGATCATTAGAAAGAATTTCACTCATCTAGGTACAAGTGGTGTAGAGATAAATACAGGGAAACCAGTCAAATCAGTATATTAAAAAATTCATGAAGTTTTGCGGTTATGAACACGTGTCTCTTCGGCTTAACTACAACCTACATATTGTAAAATTCAATATCTAATGCAACCTATATATTGTAGGATATGATCCCATTGACACCCCAATCACATAGAACTTGGGTCCGAACTCTAACTGATCGGCAAGTTGCACAATATCTAATGCTTCACTCTTGAGTGACCTTTCAGGGTTTGGATCACTATCCGCGTAGCCTGCTCTATCATATAGCAACATATATATCTTCAATTCTTCAATTAGCCCCTGAAACTAAATCATTGTAAATCAAGATAGTGCCACAAACAAACAATTGATTGTATCATACATTCAACATTATTCTGAGTTCTACCCCATTTATTAGTTTGGCTAGTACTAGAATATGTTGTAACACTTTTTGGGACCAATGTTGCTCAGCATATATTGGTACAAAAGAATATGCTTTATCTCAATGACATAAATACTCCCATATCCAATAATATAAACAAGTTGACATATGAAATTCAAATCCAACACACGTAATCACAATACCCATAATCTATCTCTACTCCTAATCCATGGCAGTGACACACAAACCAGCATTTATCCAGATTACATGAAATATGGGAATTTTTCTACTCCAAATTATGTAATATATAAAAATAAATTCACCCACTTCCTTATTTCTAGCAATTTATCTAAAATTACTCTTTTTTGCCTTTTCATACTCCAAGATTGATTAAAACCCAAAATCAAAAGGGGTTTTTCTACTTCAAATTTACTCAAGAAAATTGTTATACTAAAAAAACCAAAAAAATGCACCTAATTTCTACGTTCAATTATTCATCCCATCACACTCCATTTCAAAAGACAAAACTGATTATAACCCATCAAAATTCAGATCAAATAATTCAAGATGGGTTTGAGAGGACGAAAAATTCGAATAAAAAAGATAATAACAAAATTGAGTATAAAATGAAATGTATGACACAATCATAACACCAAACATGCTTAATTCCCCAAAATTCAAAAGAACAACTATAGATCTACAAATTAAGAATGAGAAAATCCACACACAAAATAAAAGAACAACATCCAACATGTTTCCGCACACAAAATCCGTCTTCCAGAAGATAAAATACATCAAGATTTGAACTCATTTAAATAGAAATCAACGAAAATTGAGGAATTAAAATAGAAAAATGAGAAAAGATTAGCGCCATGAAAACAATTAGCACCATGAAATCAACAAAGGTCAAAATACTCTAAATTCGCCCAAAAATCAAGCATTAGAACAATACCTATATTCCAAAATCACAAGAAATTCATGAAAAGATTGCAATTTAGAGAAGAGTGAAAGAGGAACATACTTAACAAAGCAGGATTATAGGAATTTTTTCTGGATTTAGCATCGGCAAATGCTTCAAGTGAAAGACCAGTGCCTCCCAATCTCTGCATATATTTCTTCATCTTAATCTTACTGTTGTTGTTGTTGTTGTTGTTGTTGTTGTTGTTCATTTTGTCATTGGGAATGAAGCCACCTCTTTCTCCGGAATCGTTGTTCTTGAGATTAGCGTTCTTCATCGTCCGAATTCAACAAAAAATGAGAGAGAAGTAGAAATGCCCAATTTTTTCAGTGAAGATAAATCCTGAAGAGTGAGAAGTAGAAATACCGTCGAGATGAGATTGAGTGAGGAAATGAAACAAAGAGAGAGTGGAAATGATAGAGAGGAGGGGTGAGGGCATGGTCGACAGCTGGAGAGTAAAACCCTAATAAAAATAACTAATGGGCTTCTCTCCCAACAATTGGACTAACTTATTTGTGACGGGCACAATATGCATGTTACGAATAATATAGTATTCATAACGGGCACTAATTTTGCCCATTACGAATATTATATATTTGTAACGGGCAGTATCTTGCCCGTTACGAATATTATATATTTGTAATGGACTCCTATTTTGTCCGTTACGGATATATTTAATGTAACGGGCATACCTTTGCCCGTTACAAATAGCCTGTTATAAATGACAATTTTTCCACTAGTGTACTGAAACTATCAATAATATTACTGACACTTTATATTATACCATTGATGATATTATTAGTACTACTAAAGAAAATACTTAGTAATAACATTTTATAATTAAGAGTAATAATCACTTGTTTTTCAATTAATGACTTTTAACGATACTAATTATCACAACTCTACTACTAATATATCTAAATAAATTAACTTTTTGTTTAATAGCTCATCATGCTTCGCAATAAGAATTATTTAACTAGAGAGTTTTGACCAATGCCTGAACTTAGTCGACACTGGAACCTTTGGCGTTCTGAGCTTTCGGCTTTACCAAGGTAGCTAACCCCAACCCTGTCTTCCTTAAATCAAGCACATCACAGATCTATTTCGTTTCCTACCTTAGGCCGTAATCTCTAATTAATTAAATAATTCTTAATGTGTTTGATGGATCTTAAATAGAAAGATAACACATTTGATATATAAGGTTAAAGGGGATAACGTTTCCTTCTTGAAATAAACTTTTATTTAACTTAAAAAGATTACAACACTCGTATATTACAACAAACTGAATGCTTAAATAGACATAAGTTGAACTAGAGTTTTCTCTACTTTAAGAGAGATGGACAACCAATCTGTCTCTTAAGGTGAGTATTTTTTCTCTAGAGGACTCTCTAATGCTTATAAAGAAATGTTCTATCTAACTCTTCCAACTCTGCCTTCACTTCTTGGCCTAAGTCCCTTTATATAGGGAAACAAAGCTACATAGGATTCTTATCCTGACTCAGAAAGCAATCCTACACCATTGCTTTTTACGAAGATAAAATAGAAACAATTAGTAAAAACTGGCTACAGTGAAGGTTCCTTGAATTATTGCTGGTGTGGGCTCAAGCATCCATTATTTCGTTCATCATCATCTCTTGTATGCTATCCTCACTATCTTTGTTGTCTTCATAATGGACATACATAGGATTCTCTTCTTCTATGCCAAGGTCTATGACACATTTGGCTGCATATGATTCATCCCATGTCATAAAAGCTTCAAACAGATACTCATGGCCTTCAAATGACAGAAACTTCCCACTTTCAACATCTTCTAAATATTTGTAGATAGATTAAGTATTGTTATGTCATCTACTAAATATTCTCTCATCTCATTTGGTTCACAATCATTGTATTACCAACATGAAATATAGTAGGAGGATTATTTTTTCTTTTTATAAAATCGTTGAGATATTGTGAAATGTAGAAAAATCCCTTCGCTCTTGCTTTAGTAGGATTTTTAACAGTTTTCTAACGAATTAGTATGGGATCTTGACAATACCTCACTCTCCCAAACATTATCAAGTGATGCGGTGGACTAACTTTTCCTTCTTTAACTTCGATATTAGCACAATGCACCCTTGCTCCTAGCTGAAAGTCTTCTTTTTTTGTAGTCACAATATTTCCAAACCTTATTGAATGCAGACTGTTGGAATTTTGTAAGTCTTGGAAAGAACGAGTCATTAAGAGTAGGGAATTCATGGAAATCAAGTACCATTCCATAATCCCAAGCTTTGTAATGTATACTAATGAATGGAGCATCCTGATTAAGAGGATATGAGTAGATTCGTAATGATGCAACTTTAGAGTTTTTGGGAAACGCTACTCTTTCTCCCCATAAATCTCGAAGATCGAAGAATTTACTAGACTTTGTCACCACCAACTTGTACCATGTTATAAAATCATATCTCTTATTTTGTTCAATATTATATTTCGTAAATCAGGAATGAGCTGAAATAACAAAATTGTTACTTCGAACATCAATAACCTTTGGATTGCCCGATGGCAACCCTTGATTAAGCCATCTCGTGAACATTGTTTTGCTGATATGATCAAGCTTTCATTAAGACCCAACTAGAGGGTGAAACCCGCTCCATTATTTTCTCCGTTTCATCAATGAGAGTTTTCCTCTCTACATCCATCTTTAAAAGTTGGTATGTGTAAGTAGGGTGTTCCCATCGTAGGGGATCTTTCTCCTTAGATGTCCATGGCCCTTTAAAAGCCTAGGAATTTACACTTGTTAGGGTATATTAGGATTTGAATTCCTGACTATTTGGGAAACCTTGAATTAGAAATGATACTCTCATCACGCTTTTTTGTAAGAAACAAGTAGGAGTCGCCAATGAGTTTTAAGAAAACTCATAAACCTTGTTCATGCCTTTCTCCCAAGTAGAGTTCAAGAAATAATTAGCACGAATCATAAGTTTACCCATGCCTAAATTGGTCTACATACACCAGAAATGAGTTCGGGAGCAAGGGTACTAAGATAACGTTCCCTTTAGAGGGGAATCACTATCTTAGCCCTAGTACGACCTCTATTAGCTCTTCCTTTTTCACAATTTCATTACCAAACAATATATGCGGCGTGATACCTAAAGTCTAAGTTAGTTGATTTTATTTACACGCATTGATCACATAAGAATTACATTGCAAAATCGTTATTCTTTACTTAATTCAAATTCGTTAAAAGAACAAGAAATAAACAATATTCGCCTTGTCTTAAGTGATAAAACAACAATTAATTATCAAATTCTAGTCTTGAATAATAAAAGAGTACTATGTGAATTAATTAATTAAATTTTTTTAAAGTGATAAAACAACACTAATTAATCAATTAAAGTTATTTAAACAATAAAAGAAAAATGATTTATATAAGTGCTTAGGAAACTAACCGTTCTTCTTTTATGTTAAATCTCCGTTTAATACATTTATGGACTTTCTTTCTTCTTCGTATCTCCAAGAGCTTCAATGTATAGATTATGGTTGAAGATTAGTTGGTAAGAAAAGCAAAAAGTAGTGTGATAGTAAGAGAAGTTGAGAGATTAGGGTTTTGAGAATGCTAGGGTTAGAATTCTGATTTTTCATCCTCCTTTAGGTTGAATGAAGACCCCTATTTATAGGCGTAGGGATCTAGGTTTAGGGTATTAGAGCCGCGCCATCAGGTAGTGCGCGCAACTCTCTGAGTCGCGTTGGGTGCTGCGCGCATCTCAATGAGTCACGCGCGCCAGGCGCTCGAAACTTACTGAGTTGCGTTGGGATGCGGTTTGCCTTACACGAATACGCGTTTTTAAAACTTCCATAACTTTTGATTTCAAAGTCGGATTTAGGATTGTGAGATATAATTGGAAAGTTCTGAATGTCTACTTTCCAATGCCGTTGAAATTAGGTTAAAATCTATTATGGATCAAAAGATATGGGCGTTGGAGTGAAAGGGTGTCGGTTTTAGGGCCCGATTTAGTGTTTTGATCATAATTTCTTCGTTTTAGCTCGGAATTGGGCTTATTATATACCGTTGGAAATATCTTTGAAAGGGCTATCCATGTTTAGGCCATGAACAGAAATATTATGGCTGGTTTGTCTGTTTGGCTCGATTTTCAACAATGTAAGATCCATTAGATCGAATCATTGCATTTGCCACATTCGGGTCTGTTATTAATCAAGTTTAAACATGTATGAGCACATTTTAGGCCTAATTAGTAATCAGACAAGGCTCTAATGGGTCTCAGATATGAGTTTTAACTTACTTTATAATGCATTTTGTAGTCCATAAACACTTTAACTTTGATCTAGCATGAAGAACAGATTTTTGTAACATCATCGCACTTCATTTTGGGAAACGAGGCAAAAAGTAGGTGTCTACAGTTAGCCCCCACTTTGATCGAGTCTAGAATAGATGATGATCAAAGTAGTAAAGGAAATAAATTCGAGACTCATTCAGCGAAGCTTCCTAAGAATAGAGAATCTTTCAGAAATATTTAAGGACGTCGAAACGATCCTTCATTCACTAAGTGTTTGAGACAAGTAGCTATTAAGGAAAGAAAAAGTATTTTCTATTCTTAGTGCGCTAAAGAATCTAGATTGATCCTTTTCAAATACAGAACATTTTCACAAGTAAAGGTGTCCTGGGTGATGTCACGTCATGAGAAGAAACCGGTTCGAAAAGGAGTACAGGGGATGATATCCTCTCAATCATGTCATCGTTGGTCTAAAGTCCCTCGATATTTCATTGATTTTCTAGCCTGATTTTAACAAAATGTAAAGATGATAAAAGTGTGTTTCGGTTTTTGCAGCCTGAATAAAGTTCTCGACAATTCGCTTGTCAAAATGCAATATCGGTGTCCACAAGATAAATATACATGTCTTAGGACTGAAGGCATATATCCAAATCCAGTGACAGGGAAGAAAATCGGCAACTCTCTCAACAGTTTTGTCCACAAGATGAGCACATGTATCTCAGGACTGGGGCACGTGCCTACATAGATGCGACATCGCACGTCGCTCTTTATACAGGGGGTGGACGACACCCTAACTGTTCGGCAAGTTAGTAAGCTCACTAACTGCCGTATTTTCTTTCTATATACAGGGGGTGGACGACACCCTAACTGTCTAGTAAGCCAGTAAGCTCACTAACTACCGTATTTGCTTCCAATCAAGAAGTGTCTGTTCTCGAATGGTTCGGCTTGCCTTTCGACTCGATAGCTAACGCCTAAAGTAAAGTAAAGAAATTCTACCTTTTAGTTACGAGAGGTAGATCACGTTAAGTTGGGAAGAGGTGAAATTTTACAGAACACCTACGCCATACATTTTTACGCTGTATGATAACGCCTCCCTTTTTGATGTGGACGTGAAGAAAGAAGAAAAGACCGGACATTTATAAAGTCTATACAGTAAAATGACAAACCTGTCTATGGGAGCTTTTACGTAAAGCACCACTACGGAACGTCTTAAGACACTCGTACGAAAAACGTCTAAAATGTATGCTTAGGGATGG